CCATTCGGTTTTGACTGGAGACTCATCTGGGTCCCAGCTGAATCCCTCGTTTACGATGCTCTTAAGCAGTAGTGTATTACGCCTATACGATTTATCGAGGTATCTAGAATATCGTACCAACTGGAACATGAGTTGGTCTGACAATCTGGTTGCTTAAGAAGATCATAAACGAGGGATTTAGCTGGATCCCAGATGAGTCTCCCATCAAAACCAGATTGACATGCGAATGAGTGTATCTGTCTACAAGTGCCCGTTCGTGTTTCTCGTTTTGTATCTATACATTTTGTTCCATTTATTTTGTGCAGTGGACAAGAACAACTGTCATTCCTGAACAAGGAATCCATCAAGCGTTTTGTCCTGATTTCGGCCCACAGCTGGATATGGCATTATCGCGTGACGCTTTGGTTGGAACTATAATATCCAGACGGGAAGTTGATTTTTAAACGAAGGTATCACTAACACCACTCCATGCATCCACGGTGAGTTTTCATCAACCCCCTTGCTGTGTCATAATGTTACTGATATAATATTGTCTGCATTTATCCTACCATTTAACCCTGGTATCGGTTTGTGGAAATTACCTCTCATTGCTACCAACAGCGACCAAATTTGACCACTTTTCTAATCATTCTACTTTCGATAGCTTCCGTAGATCAAATCACTCAATGATATCAACCTCAAATTAGTTTGATTCCACTCGTTCTCAGTGCACTGCGAACCAGATATGGCTTCAGAACTGGCTGATTGTAGGCAACATTATTTTTGTCTGTATATTTATCCAGAAAGTCATAGTTTCCCCGAGAAAAAGAGTCTTTTGTGTGCCCCTGAGAGATGAACAAAAGGTCGTTTAAGATGTGATAAGGATATGCATTTTTCTGAGACTGGATAATGAACTTTTTCTCATTTTTATTGTGCTTCTTGGTCAATGAATCGTACCTTTGTCTCACGATGTGCCAGTGGTAAGTTTCTTTTCTCCTACCAAGGCACACACTGATGAGTGCAGCTTTTCTAGTTTCATTGGAACAGGGGTCCGAACTCTGGACATGTGGCATGGAAGGTGAGCATGCTAGCACTACTCCACCAGGGCACGTTGTTAGTGTTCGTGGGATGTCCTATCAGGCGGGTCAGTCGATCGACACAACCATAATGCTTACTGTGTCGTCGTCCGAGGCGCCGGACAATTCAATCAACTCACTGAATCGTGGACGTGTTCACCTGTTCGGATGAGAGAATTCAAATACATCCAGCGTGCACTGGTTTATTAGTGGTAATTAAAACGCTGGCCTCGGATGCCACGTGTCCGGTGTTCAAATCCTGGCACGGGTAATCATGAGTTGAACTCCAATAAGGACGTAACTAGAATCCAGTGCTCCCCCTCTACGACTTGGACTCACAAGGATAATTGTGCCACGATAGGAGGGGGACTGTTCAAAAGAGGGTGATGTGGACGTGAACTTTTCAAGTGCCGCAACCATCTACAATATCAGCGAAATGCACTCATTTGCATACAAATTTGGTTTCGGCAACAGACTCATCGGTAGCACGACTGGAACTCCCGTTTATGGTGTTCTTAATGAGTGTATTTCGCTAATCTCGCGTAATTTAAATTCAAGTAAAACATAAGGTTGACGGAAACTCGGAAACTGCGCCTACCTGATAATCCCCAAGAAGCGTAAAACTGGTCGTGGCCGTCGAGGAATTTTCAGCGACCTTATGAATAGCACATCACACCTAGGCTATCCTTTCTATCGGCACACTCTTCCTTTGGTTTCATCTCCCATAAATGCTGGAAATACTGACATAGAGATGCACACATGGACCGGCTGTTCTATACCTTATTGATCAACCCGGTAGGCAGTTGTTTGCTCTGCTAAACGGGTGCATATGTACCCAGAATCAGTTGGTTGAGATTGTGAGTAAATCATATACTCTGGGTTTGATAATCAGAATGCTCATGGTGATTGGGTGATTCCCCAGCAAGCGAACTATGCGTTAGTGAGTGAGTGACGATGCACTGTAGATATTTAGATGAAGATCGCCAGCAGATAATTTCAAATGTTTGATATTTCTGAAGTAAACATATCACTTCACCATACTAAGCAGTACATTTAGGAGAAGGAAACTGGTAGATGCACAGATCTCCCATTTTCTCTTCAGGAAACGACCTTTTTGTGGTCCTTACAATGCGGTTTGGTCATGTAGTTGCAGACTTATCTACTAACAAAGCACATGTGTTACGTCCAAAAAACCTAAGAGTTGTTTTCTGATACACAATGAAGACTTTAACCGATTGACTGCAGCGGTTTCGTCGAAGCTGAGAACAAGCGAGTTTTCACGACCGAAGGAGATGCTAAACACTGAGGTTTGGGTTCTTCTGGTGGGCAGATTGTTCCAATCAGACAGCCTGAAATTGCATCAAATAATGATCTATGAAACTTGTTTCTTCCTAATTGTTGGCTCTACTCAATGCTAGATTTCAGATCGAGAGCGAGGACATTGTCAGACGGTTTTTAACGTCTCCACACATTGCATACCGCCAGCGATACTCACACAATGCTGAGGAAATTCCATAATCAGTGAATGTTCTAGCCTTCAAAAGGCACTTGTATCACACCGCATCTCTTAATTTTTTCAGATAATTAGCTTAAAATCAGCTTGCCTACAAACTACGTAAACACGACGTTTCATCTGAGAAAACTGAGGAAAACGGGATGTCTTGTGAATTTTAAAGGAGAAATCTGCACCGGCATTTGTTGGTAGTGTGGGATTTGGGAATTTGAATGAAGAATTTATCATGTAAGTGGAACCAATCCGTACTGAAAATCCACATCACGTGGATCCCATGAGTGGAGAATAAATCACACCATATCCTGTAGTGCACTACTCATAAGGTTGCTGAAAACTCCAGCAACCTTATGAGTAGTGCATTATAAAATACATATGTATCGCGATATCTAGAAAATAGTAGCGACTGAAACATGAGGCGGCCTGGTGCAGCACATTCAGTTGGCTGGAAACATCAAAACCGAGAGATTCAGCTGGGTTCGAGGTGAGTCTCTCGAAAACCCAAATTAGTTCGCAAATGAGTGTATATGCACTATATCCTGTCCAAGTGCCAGTTAATCACACTGCTGACCAGCTGCTCGTGGCCGAAATTTTCAAACTACCGGCCGCAGGTTCGAGATTCCCTGGGTTTTCGTGAGATGCGCGCTGATGATGATTCCCAACAAGAGCGAAACAGCTGTACAGTTTTCCTTGGAGTTCCAGCATAGCTTCACTTCATCTACAATGATTTTTGTCTCTACATTACCATTTCATAATAGCGAATTCTGCACCCTAGGAATAAGGGACCATATCTTTTTAGGAAAGTCGCGTGCTCAGCACATCCTAGGCATCTGATAAATTTTTTGCCAGTGTCTGCACATCATACCCCTTCGAACTCAGAGACGGCGAAATTCGACAGACTATCGAAAGTCAGATGACCAATTGTTTCACGAACTGGACTGCTGAAGCCAAGAAAGTGGAGGTATAGCAAAAGGAACTGACCAACAAGTTCGGATATCTTGGTCCCAAAGGAAACAAATGATTCTGCGACCCTCTAAGAAATACCACAAGCGGGTTAGAATTAATCGCACTTTCAATGGCAAATCCGTTTGCCTTGGAATCCATGTCAGTACGAGCATTGCTGGAACAATCACTGATTTTCACTGCGCTGTTGCAATTACCCGACGATTGTTCGGTCAAACGGTCATGACGTGCCGTATGCTAGCCGAATGGGGAATATTGGTCGATAAGTTTAGACCAAGCTCTTTTACTTGGCAAAAGATTTAAACCAGTTGTTGAGCAATCACTGATTAAAGTGACTTGCTCCACGCCGACCAGGAAATTAGTCATTCAATTACTGGTCTTCCTTCATTATTTTCAGGTCATTTTTTCTTAACGTTTTCGTCGTCCACTTAATGTGACAGAGTAACGACGCATTATCCCACTTCTTACGAATTGTCCGACTGAGGCAACCACTGTTGCTTCATATTGTGTCGTGGATTGTTCTATGTACTTTATTCATGAAACTATTTGGTTTCCTAATAGGACGCCGCTAATGTAATGAAAAAAGCAAGATTTTCAATGATACCTGAGTCGAACCCCAGGTATGTATGTATACGATCACATTCACACCCCCTAATTAGTAACCGCCTTCCTGATCAAGTAGTACACACCAGCATGTGAAAATCCGTCGGTTGCTTTCATGGAACAGTTGACTGTATAAAACTAGTGTCTTCGTGAATCTACACTAATTCTTCTAGGCCGTAGTTCTAATGCTAATAGTTTCTCTCATGCCTTATACTACGTCTAATCTACCACTTTTAATCTGCACGCAACGTTGCTTCGCATAACAACACATCTGTAAGCCGGTATAGGTTGGGTTGCAACCATTATTTGAAAATTTGTGAGGTTTCTGGAAGGACATAGGATTTGTTTCAGATTGAACAATGTTGTCTATAATTCTCGGTAATTTCAGTAGCCATGACTTCCGGCAATCGACAGACTCGCTTTCACCTAGTTCGGTGATACACTGTTCACATTCCCCGTGCAGATTTCTTTTGGCTTTGGAAATTGATTTGTGGAACTTAACTTTTGTTTAACAAACTGCAACGGGGGAAGCTGTTTTCGTCCCAAGGTCGGGAATATTGCTTATTTTATTGCTGTTTCTTTTCCGCAGCGCTACCAGGTTATGATCGGGCCTTCCCTCAATCAGCTGGTGGCAAAATAGTGCACGCATCACGTCCAGTCACTTGGGCATTCAGTCAACAAACCAATCAAGCATCTAGTTCCTATCGATCACGAGAGCAAATGGCCACGGCATTGGTCTTCCACGGACGTAGCCTACCAGCCAATCAGCTGAGTGGATTGATCAAACCGCTGTACAAAGCCAAAAGCGTGCGTCGAGGTAAGGCAGGCGACCTGTTGGCGCACCAGTGTTTCGAACATGCATTTCAGCTATGTGTAACTCACTCAAAAAATGTTTGAGGGAGCATGAGAATAAAAAGGTGCAGCCAATCCCCACAAAAGTAAGCTTATTTGTTTTCCCATGTCCAACTCAGTATGAATATCCATTGTTTTCCGTATGCGACTGACATTGCTTTGGATAGGTTTTTTGGAACTTTCAGCATGTGACTCGAAATCCACAAGTAGAAGCGATCTTCAGACTTATTTACTTTCTAGCATGTCCCGGTGTTACTGGCATTTTCCAGCAGTGTTTCGGATGTGTCATTAGTAAAAGTACGAATATGAACCACGAATAAGTACAGAGATGATCGGATATTATAGACACTGAGAGGAGCTTTAGAAACACGCTCAGTCCATCTGATCAAGCAGTACTTTTGTCACATACGATTTCGGAAAAGTCGTGCCTTGTTTCATTTGTGTCTGACACCAGTTCGTGTAACAGCCGCAGTTAATAGCTCACGGCTTTGCGTTTCCGATATATTCCAGCCACCCACGCACTATCAGTTTATGGCACACTTAACGCCATACTTTACTAGAGGGGCCAATGACAATCAATGAAAGATCCCACTCTCCTTGTTTGTAAATTCCTAGTGCCCACCGAACAAGATTGTTCTCAGCATGTTCACTTTCAAGTCAGCTGTCCTAAAACATTTGACCTTTCATACTTCCTTCCAAAATGCTTCACTATAAGTTACATGGCTGGACCAAGCCTAGTCGAGATATTGTTAATCTTGAGTTACCGGTGTTAGGTTGTTCGTACAGCATGTCTGTCACATCCATGTTGTGCTCCACTGTTTAGAAAATTTGTCAACTGTTCAGTCTCTTCTGATCATATAGGTGACTTTGACTGCCTGTTTATCACCAGCTTTTCAGGTGTTCATCTGAACGAATTTGACGGCCTCATTAAGCTTTACTATGTAGAGCCGAGTCGGCCTGCGCAGATAATCAGTTCAGCGTCTTTCCCTTGAGAGTTATCAGCAGCACAAGTCTCCCTTTAGGGTCTCGAAACCGCGCCTTTCAGGTAGTAACGGAACATTGCCTTTGAGCCTCGCTTGGCTTAATAATAGCATCGTCAACTTTATCTTGCATACCTTTTTTCTTACGGCTTTCTGTGTCCATGAAGGGACCCGGTGGTTTTGATCCGATGTGGAATTCGTTTGATATTTTTTGATGTTTTTTTCGGCCAATGATTTTGTCCCTCTGTGCCCAACTTTCTCCATGCAAAGTCCTGAAAGTATGTGGTTTGACTAACAATAGCTGGTGTCATTATTCCTCACCTTACGACCACGCGCTAGCTATGGTTGATGTTTCGCTACGGTTAAAACGATCTATAAGTCGTGTGTGCTTTTGTTCTTACGACTACCGATTAACATCGAAAATTGGCGACAACAGTAGAGACTAGGCATTTGCCTAAATAGAAGTTGGTTATACCTCTTTCCATGTGCTACAAACGGCCTCAATAGTGAGCACGCCCAAACATCTACAAAACGAATCAGACTTGTTTATGTTCATGTAGTCCCAGAATAACAAAGGTGTTTACGTCGTACATGGTGGATGACTATTGTGATTCAGTAGATAAAGCATCTGTGTTCAAGTTAGGTGAGTTAAGCCACGAGGCCTAATTTCACTCCGAACTGAGGGCAAACGATTCCCCAGAAACGTACTTCAAAAGCCCAAGGTTGAAACATGATGTGGTGCAGCCTTTGACATGTAAAATATCTTAAGGATTTTGCACAGGTTATCTCCAATGGATCGTTCAGCTTTCCCGGTGTACTTCTATAACTTTACACAAACAAGTTTGTCCTTCAAGATAGCATTCGATGCTCAGATGTTACTGGATATTCGTCCAGGTTGTGGGTTTTTAAGAATATACGGAAGGTTGCTTCTCGTCACAAGTAACCTCAGGCGAGATCTTCCATCAAATCCTATAAGCTTCATTGGTTTTTTTAATTGGCTTGGACCCGACCTCAGTATGCCGTTTTCAAATCGGTCACCGTATCCATTAGCTTAGAACCGATGACAGGTTAACATTACTATATGAAAGATAATGTGCAGTGTATACCTTTGTTTGTTCGTCAAATTACTGTTTTCACTGCGCGCTCAGAAAAAGCCCGCATCTTCTTTTTCTATGGATGGTGTTATTAGCATATATGGAATAAATTGCCCACTGTACCTGCCATTGCGCTATCCGAGAAAGTAACACCACAAGGGTCTCGTGATCATTGTCCGACTGGTGTCAATGCCATTCGAACTATGGTGGCAGGTACATATAACCTAGCATCTCGACTGATAAAAATGCAGACATCTACCTGAATCCTGTGAGCCGTTTGTGATCGTCGCGCAACAGAAACCGCGGTTTGAGTGTATAGAGCCCAAGGCTGGTACTAGAGGATGATAAAAGCCCGACGACAGACCATAGTGTTCGAGGATCATCGTATGGGCGTAGTCCCCGAATTTCAGTCAATTGTTTTATCCTGCCTAAATACCTGTTCGCTTAATAAATGGGTATAAATTAGAGATATAAACGATGTTCGAGTGAATCTTCTGGTAATGCGATTTTGCCTGAGTTGGCAATTTTACTCTTAATGCAGCTGGAAGCTTGTTTGAGTCTCTCGTCCACACTGATCCAGTATGCAAATGGTTTGTGGATACAATGCACTAGTCACCCTGAGAAACACTGTGTTAAAGTTAATTAATTTCCCTATGGAGAACTGGAATTAGCCAACTTGAGAAGTCTGCACCATAAAGTTCCCTCATCATATCACCTCCCTAGTACACTCAAGAAGTGTCGTATAGGGATATTTACTTCAATCATATTGGGGGTAAATGCTATCTGACTCAGGTCTGAGAAAGTCGGAAATTTAACTCGAGTGAGTAAGTGGTTGCAAAACTTCAGCTGCAACCGTTCAATCGAAACTGTATGGAACTGGCGGAACAAAGCAGAAGCATACTATTGTTTCAAACATAATGGGCGATCTCTGCACGTCGATCCACGGAACAATATGCACACCTGACTACTCCCGCTATTAGCTTCAGATTTACTCACCACTCTGTGGATGCCAAAGGCCCGCTCAGGATTGCAAGTTCTCATCGCAATGTTTGGTTAAATAGGTGGGTTGAGTGGGACCTCGTATTGTGAAATGATTCCACCTTTTGGATGTCGCAACGGGTAAATTCAGGGGGATGTGTTCTGCTGTCAGGCCGAGTGTATGACCTCAATGTGACCTTAGCTTCACCCGGAGAAAGTACATGCCTCACCCACCCGGTTCCCTTGATGTGTAAATTCCAATTGAAACATCGTTTGTCCGGAAAATATCTGGGCGCTTCTTTTCACTTAGTGAGGGGTATATTCCCTGGTTAATTCCTGTAAACTGCTCGTGAGCTACCATCAGTGTCGCTGACACTGTTCACGTATCCAAATCAATAGGATTTCAAAGCACCAAAGATTACACCTGTATTTTTGCTTGCAGGGAATTAGTCCTTTTGGCAGCTGCATGTCTAAATATTGATGGGTCGGGTGGGTTAATCGGCTGTTGATCAGATGGCAGATTATCTGTTCGCCGAGCTTGACAATTGGCTTGCAAACATTTCGTCACCATCCGAGGAGACATCGTTAGCGCGTAGTGAAAATAGGTGCAACCTCCACGTATGTTTGCGTTTATGTAGTTTCTTAATAGTTAGTAGAATTTGCAACATGACTGGCTCTTTGAAGATTGCTTAGCACTTAATTTAATTGGTCACTTCAGGATTGATGGTGCGTTGTGATCTTCTTATCTTACGAAAGGTTGGTTCATGGAACAGCTCCTTTTCAGCAGTTCTGTTCTTCCATTCTGATTGGTTCATCCTACTTTTCTCGTGTGTTGCGTTCCAGCCGGTCTTCATGTCACTTGATTGATCGACTGCCTATTTTTGGTAGTTCCCTTCAGTTTGATCGCTACGTTTTCCGTTTCTGTTTTATTGCGGCTCTTGTCCGGTCTATGGGACACTTTTTCTCAGACGTGATTGACGAAATGACAAAGAGGAGACATGTTAGCGCGTAGTGAAAATAGGTGCAACCTCCACGTATGTTTGCGTTTATGTAGTTTCTTAATAGTTAGTAGAATTTGCAACATGACTGGCTCTTTGAAGATTGCTTAGCACTTAATTTAATTGGTCACTTCAGGATTGATGGTGCGTTGTGATCTTCTTATCTTACGAAAGGTTGGTTCATGGAACAGCTCCTTTTCAGCAGTTCTGTTCTTCCATTCTGATTGGTTCATCCTACTTTTCTCGTGTGTTGCGTTCCAGCCGGTCTTCATGTCACTTGATTGATCGGCTGCCTATTTTTGGTAGTTCCCTTCAGTTTGATCGCTACGTTTTCCGTTTCTGTTTTATTGCGGCTCTTGTCCGGTCTATGGGACACTTTTTCTCAGACGTGATTGACGAAATGACAAACTAGAATAAAGGAACAAAACCACTGAAGTGGAGTTGTTCCATGTATCAACCCCATGCATGATAAGCAGACCACGACGCAACGCCAATCTCAGAATGACCAATTAAATTAAGTGCCAGATAATCCTCAGACAGACACTTCAGACACTAGTAACTCTTACGAAACTACATGAATGCAAGTAGACTTGGGTGAATCATGCACTGCCGATGTACCGCCGCATGGTGACGAAGCGTTTGCAAGCCACTTTCCGAGCTAGGCGAATACATCAACTGCCACCTGCTCAACAGTCAATGTTGCCTTTGGCTTCTAAAAATAGCTTATCAAAGTGAAAACCAGCGAACAGATGGTCGCTTTTGCAGTTTTTGCATCAACACTGGAGTATATTTAACAACCAGACGTGCAATCGGTTTATACCCACCAACCACCTACCCGAAAAATTGATTTTCCGAGGGGATTAAGAACTAACGGCTCCCGCACATATATAGACTATCTAGGTGCCACTGGTGGGATGAACCCAGAATGAGGCTTGCGTATTGCACTATATGCATTGGAAATGTAACGAAATAATGCCGGTGGGCATCTGAACGTTTTGATCGACCGCTTGAAAATGTCAACAAGTCTAACTAATTTTGGCGGGATACTCTCATCTGAAAACTAAATTGACGTTAACGAAGGACTCAAACAGAGATCTCGTTTACGGTGTCCTTCAACTGAGTATGCTGCAAGAATACCTGCTCATTCTTCAGTTGGCACGATATTCGAGATATCGTATACTCTTGACATGGCATGCTACTTATGAGGTTGCTGAAAAGTCTTCAACAATTTGTTGCAGGTTTTGCCCTTCATTAGGTTCATCAAGTAGGTGTGGTCCTCGATTACCCATCGTCTTCTGCTTGAACACTCCTTTGTACGCAAGTGGCCAAATACAAAAAGTTGCGAATTGACTTGTTATTAAAGGAAGGCCTTCTCATTTTTGGCCCAGTGGTATATTACACCAGGAAAATATATTTTGATATCTCAAATATTGTGTGGACTAAGACATGAGACGGTCTGCATACAACACATTCAGCTGAAGAAAATCAAAACCGAATGATTTAGCCGGAATTCATTTAGGTGCCCCTTAACTACTAATTTACTTTGCAAATGGGTGTATTTCACCAACTGCGTACAGTTTGATGTTCAAGCAGGACGTAAGATTGAGAAGAACTCAGGAACTTTGCCTGTTTGACAAGCCGAAAGAACCAAATAGGTAATGGACTGTTGAGGGGCTTTCAACGACCTTATAACTAATATGTTATTTTGAAATACTTTTGTCCGCTGATACTTAGCTCCAGCTTTTGCTTTTATCCTCTTTACCATAAAACTGTTGTACTTCGAAGCTCTAGTGACAACAATGTACAACTAGCACTTACCGTGCAAACTTTGCCAGCATGACGAATTCCAGTCCTCTGTGCCCGTGGATTCATTTGCTATTTGCATGAAACCCACGTATAAGAGACCCTTGAAGAGTGAGGCAGCTTTCACTATTCACACCCCTTCTACCAAAATGAATCACATAAACCGACAGAGGTAACCGAGTAGGAAGCGCATAACAATGAAGCACAAACAAAGCAACCACCGCACAACTGGTTTACCATTCCATCTGTGACGTTGACCTTATTTCACCTAGACGAAGCCCGATAGAACGAGTTCTACTCATTCAAAACAAGTGAAAATCCGTTTGTGGTTGAACGCAAATTGCGTCGTTTGTTTGGTCGGTGGAATGACGGTGGGGTGATTTCACTGAACCGTGCCTCCACCTAACTGGTTGACTTCACCAAAAACGAAGCACTCGCAGAGTCGTCAGTGCATACGTTCATAGCCATTGTCGGATATGGCGCATGGTTCAATGCGAAGAACTTACCAAGAGGTAATGGGGTAAAGACTCGTTCTGAAAAAAGGATAATTCTCGCAATCAAGTCCCCATTCCAGGTCCTGGACAAGAAAAGACTTTCGCCAACTTGAGGCAAAACTTGAGCAATATTGCGTAGCTCAACAGTTGCGTTGAAATTCAAAAGCTACACTCATTTACTAGTCCTGACGATTTTCAAAATTCGCGTATAACTTTATCGTGGGTGTGAAATAACGCTTTCTAAGGAACACCACCCAGAAGGTTGCTGAATGCTCTTCAGTAACCTGCGGCTGACTCCCACGAATGGATAAGCGAACTTCATGAATGTCATGACTGCTTCGAGCTCTTAACCACCGGCGGAAAAGTTGTGGTCAAGTGTTGGCCCCAGCGATGAACCATACAAACATATCGGAAACTCAGAGAACACAGTTAATTTATCATGGGCAGGGTTTTCTTCGAAGGTGTTCATTTCTGCTCCAGATAGCATAGCAAACATTGACCCCGTAATGAGGCCATCTTAATGACACACACTTGGAGTTTCTGTTTACGCTGATCAAGTATCCCGATACTTAATCACATCATCAATGCCGAATTTAGTCTACTCTGGTGAAAGGACTGTAGGCTCCTCTGAATGTGCGAATTACCGGAAAACTCTATGGATCCGTCACCAGGAGTTGCCATCGCTAACTTAGACACATACAAGCATTTCGTAGGCTTTGATCCTCTGGTTTATGGCACTCTTCACCACAGCGCATCAAATATGCGCCCCGTGAAATCCTAGAACTGAAGATGAAATACACACTGGTGCCTGAAACAGATGAGGTTCCCAGCGTTTCGTGCCGAAACACTCAAATTTACTTCCCTCTCTATGCTCAAGGTGGCGATACCGTCTTGTGGAGCAGCTGGGAATCTGGATAAGCACGGTCCAGTCAGATGTGGAGGGATTCGGTGCCAGCCGATCATGCGGTATCGGTTTGTGCAATTGAACCTAATTTACAAATGAGTGCATTTTGCCATTTAAGTAAGTATATGCTCATTTCCACAGAAGATTTCATGTACGCTTGGAATTCAGAAGAGTTGATACGCTCGATGAAATGCTGTGAGAATCACCTGGACACTTCAGCCGCTTTCTACTGCAACATCATTGCATTTGGAAGGTGGATTAGTCAAACTGTGAGGAAAATAATTTTATGTTGTTCTCCCACTACATGTATTATTAACTGCATCTAGGTTAGCACAGATAATACAGCAGCGAAGCATCAGTGTTAAACACTGATGTCATGCTGTCGATGATGATGACACTCATCTTCACGCTTCCAATTCAGTAAGATGAACAATGTGCCGTAGGCACATAACAAGTCACTTCTGTGACAGAATGGGATGGTTTGGACGGCATGTCCCCCGGTGCCGTGCATAGGAGAATGTGATATTCTGTGATGGGGAGAATTTCTATCTGCGTGCTTCGGTTAAACTGATGCGCTGTTGTCATGATGCCTCATGACCTAAACAGGGTTCAATAAAAGCTCCCTCTTGAGGAGCACGCTTTGGGCCGCACAGTTAGGGTAGACGCCAATTGATGCAAAGAAGAATTGAAGTTTTGTCTTAGTGATCTACTGGAAATTAGACCAGATTTGGTCGTTGCGTATAATGAGTGGTAGATAAACCAATCTAGCGTCTATACCGTCATTCTCTTGAATACATTCGACCATTTTTGTATTTGACTCGTTTGGTGAAATTGGACATTCATTCAGCGTCACGCGCCTTGGATTGATTGCTTGTGATTTCTATGACAGGTCGTCCTTCGCTCTTCACTGCTGTAAACTGCTCTAGTTCCTTGCTGATTTCCACGCGCTTAGTCTCGCAGCTAAACCCACAAGCTCGTCAGCGGCTATTCTGAAACATACATAAATCAGTCTGAAATTCAATGTCCATATTCTCTTGTAGCAGACACAAGCGTCTCACCCCCTACTGATTTTTGAGCTTAGAAAAAGCTGTGCTTTCCAAAGCATTCTCATTTACTACTGATTGGGACGATATCGATCAAATGTTTTGGTTTTCTCCCATAATTTGGAGCAACCTTCGTAGTGTTTTTCACCTCCTTCCCCACAGTGTTTCAGAACCCACCAATGTCAAATCGAAATTGACGGTAGATTCATTGGGAGACGGTATTGGGTGACAGCGCTCAAGATTTGAATATCCTAGCTTAACTCGGCATTAAGAGAATCAAGAAATCGGTTGGACTGAGTAGTGAGTGTTATTCACACATATTGCCCATTCCGAGATCTCACTTTAGAAGACGACTATATGTAGAACGGGATGAACTCGCCTCGCCAGTGCCTGCAATTGAGTTTAAATCAAAATTGTTGATTATACAAACAAGGATGACCTCAATAATCGAACTGAATGATGTCACAGTCGCCTTAACTGGTCAGTTATGAATCCAAAAGAAGATCAGCTAGAGCGTTCCGAGCCTAGAGTATACATTCTGCCCTAAAGTATTGCAGTTTAGAGCTTTAAAATAGTGCCACAACCGTAAAATCCTAGTCTTATCAATCACTATTCGACTAACGGTCAATGTGCTGTGTTACGACGTATGTCTGGGGTGTTTTCCAAACCTCTGCGCTTCGGTGTCCGCAAGGCTAATGAACTGCGAAACTTTTGCCAACAGCTGCGGTGTGTCAGATAAATCAACAGGTTTTTTTAGTTTTCGCCTCCACACGTTCTGTGTTTAACTGTAAACCATACCCTGCCGTTCTACCTTCAGCGCGATGCAGGCTGGGCGTGGCTGGTTATGTTCGCCTCGTTTACGCTCCAGCTGTTTATTGATGGGTCAATTAGTGGTTTTGGCGTCATCTTCCTTGCCATACAACAAGACGAGGCCTTTGTTCGGGCGAATTACACCCGAACATTGCTTGCAATGCCAGGTTCCATTCAACCGGGTTTCTTCCTTTGCACCGGTACGTTAGCAACAATTTTGCTATGGTATATTTTTAACACAGCACAACACGAGCCAAAGTTACATTTTCCTAATAAAATATCTGCCTCATTTGATATAATCTTTGGTAAGGTTAGTGCTCCTAATTTGTTGATTCCAATCGCGGATTCACTGATGTTCTACTGATATTCTCACCACTTGCAGTAAGGACATCTTTATGCCTCTTTCCACTATAACTCAATCATTCCTTTGAGGCAAGTCTCTTGTCATCCTTGCTGCCGTTGATCGCGTGGTTGACAAAACCGAAATGTGTTCTATCATTCATCTAACTATTGTTTACAAGCTAAAAGAATCATATCCATGGTACATTGTATTTGAGAATCGTCATCAACAAGCCCTTCCAGTCCGTTTTCGTAGAAGTAAGACGGACGCTAGAACTCAGTCTCTGGTGGACGGCGTTACAAAACAGCGCATGTAACAGAATCGGACTGAAAAGTGCTCCTAAGCCCCTTTCATAGTATGATAAGCAGAGTGTGTCAGTTAACACGTCATATGAAGGTTTTAATAAAGGGTTGTCACAAGGGGAGCCAACTTGCCATAGTGGATAACGTGTTCGGCTGCCGTCCTTTGGAGCCAGTTTCGATCACCAATTCGGCCGTTTTGCTGCAGAGTCGATGATGGGAAATAGATAAGTGAGTGGAAACTGCATGTGAAGAGAGACAGGTAGCTAAAATAACGGTACTAGCAGCCACGGTAAAAATAAACGCTGAGCGGGAGCAGAAAAACTAGGGGCGATTGGCCGTAAAGCCAGTCGACTTTATGATAAATACGCAAAAGGTAAGGTCGAAAATAACCAGGAAAAATAGTTGATAATCATTGTTGATGGAGAATCATTGAGTTCCCCGACGCTTTTGTTCAAAACAGTGTTGTTTATCCCGTTCCAAATGGTGAAAAAGAGTAGGCAAGGCCACAGGCTGTCATCCCTAAACCTCTGAATTCGTCCTTCCTTCTGTCGATGCTTATTCGTCTGTTGAGTTCCCCCTATTTCATTCCCCTTAATTCAACTGTTGTACCATTGGCATAGATTGTATCACGCCACTTCTGTGTGGACAGAATTATGTATGTAACAGGCCTTGTCACTGCTTATAGGCGTCTTTCGATAGTGCTCTCCGCAGATCAAATTACTGCATACATGTGTGCGTGTTGTGGCGCGTTGGCTTTGATCAGGTGGCAGTTGATCTGTTCATAGAGCATGGCATTTGGCCTGCAAACGTTTTCTCACCATGCGAGAAGATATCGTCGGTGCGTGTTTGGGCGGTTAGTACCTCCAGGCCTGTTTTCATTCATATTCGTTTCTAAAGTGTGGTGATATCCGCAACGCGATTGAGCATGTCTCCTCGCATGGTGACGAAGCGTTGGCAAGTCAGTTGCCAAGCTTCGCGAACAGATCAGCTGCCAGTCAATCCACAGCCATTTAACCCAGTCAAGCTATCAATATTTGGACACTCCTAATGGTGGCGTGTAACTACGTAGGACAAGGTAGGCAAGGTTCCTTAGGGACATACCTGTCTGATATAGTATTCTTCGTCGAACTAAGGTTACGGATAATGCTGCCTTGGTAACCGCATTAATCACGCTGACCGATAACGGTTAAGTACCGAAACATATTGAATTTGTGGTTCGTACTCCCATTAGTGTTTGCAACGATGCGTGCAGAATAATCGCATGAATAAACAATATGACAGCTGTCACACTATGGTTCATAGCACAATTATCCCTGAATTATTTTACGTCTGATGGCTAAAAGGAAAACGTTTATAGGGGTACTCTCGTACACCGTACCACCGATTTCGCCCAATCGTGCACCAATTGTATGGAGTATCAAAATAACCCCTTTCGTTGAGAAGCCAGCCGGATAGAAAGTGGGTTATGTACTTGGAATAAATTGTCCATCGTGAACGATCTTAGCCACGATAAGCAAATTGGCCACCTGTCACTAGAAGTTGTCCCAGATACCTGGGGATTCCGGTGGATATGAAGAATTGGAACCAAAGTCGAAGTTTTGTTTGTGTTTGACTCCACTATGCTTCACTTCGTTGGGTGTTTTTTCGAACTCATTGAGAGACTAGATTTGGTGCCGAACGCAAGCCATTCGGTTCCTATCGTTGTCTTTCGATATCTTGAAATTTCCTGACCAGCTTGTGCATCACCCGAGTTGACTGACGGGCATAATTACTGAGATAGATGGTGTGTGGACACGTGAGGAATACAGTCGGAACACTTACGGTTGTGATACTGCTATTTTAAAGGATCTGCTGCCATTTCCTGCACTGAGCAAACGATGGCGAACGTTACCATTTTCGACACCGATGTTTGGACACTGTAAACAATTACGAATCGTAGTATTGTGGTTTGGATGTTTCATTTCACCGTCTTCAGACAAAGGAGTAATAAAACTAATCATGTTAGCTGACAGAGGTTTTGACTGTGCATTTTACTCTCGGGTGATGTGGATCAATGCGTAGAAGCCGTGTAACACTGTACAGCTGTTCCATCCTTCTTGGGAATGTTAAGCTCTCATTCCATGCATTCATGGGGAGATTCGAACCCTTGAACCTCCCATTACTTTTACAACCACAACATTCAGCTGCGGTTAACGAACTCGTAGTGATTGATTCGCGGTTGGACACAGTATGGTGCCACTACCCTTTAGTCAGGCAACCCACAGCACGTGGCCCGGCTGGCTGGTCGAGCAAAAGTTCCCAATTATGAGGTCCGTTTCCGTTGTAGTGGTACTTCTATTTTATCGCTGATTCAACCGTGTTAGATCACCAACTTTTATCAACAGGAATGCGCAAAATTTTTACGGATTCGTTGAATATACTGCTTTACAATGGACCAGTTGGAAGTTTCTACCGAATGCCCACTCTTGTGCTCATTTCAGGTGCGTTTGCCAGTCCATTTATCCAGAAATTTGGATTTCGCCTTACCGGAAGCTTTGCCAGTATAATGGTCAGCTCAGGAATTTCACTGTCCAGCATGCAAACGAACATCCATCTTTTCAGTCTCTTTTACGGTGTAGTTGCTGGTAAGTTTTAGATGTGACATATGGCAGGCATTGTTAACGGGATACAAAATGCGCATCACCTCGCCTTTGGCGCATATTCAGCTCTCGGCTTTTTTGCACGCCAAAGATTCAGTACTTATGAAGTAACTAAGCTGAACGTTCTTAACCGTCCGAAGAATTCCAATGAGGACACCGTTCAACAAAAAACATCATTTTAGCCACAGATGCGTTTCTGCACTGAATAAATGCAGTCATTGAAGTATTCGCCCATGCTGATTTCGTTGAGTTAGTCTTATCGGAACTTAATCTACAGTGACCGGATTCGACCTCTACTCCTGCTTGCGCCACTTGGAAAGTTAGTCACTGATCATCCGCCTTGCTTGCTCCAAGCTCTATTCAGCCTTCGTGAATAACGTTTCCGTTGGTAAAACAAGTCTGGAAAATGACCGATTCGATGGCAAAGATGAATATCGTGTGTTGACGGTTTTCGCATTGTTGACAATATGAAGAGATTTGGAAATTTTGTCTCGCAATTGAGGTCAAACTATGCCGAAAATCCTATAAACGCTTTACAACTGTTTCATCCTTGTGTGGAAGCATTAGCACTGCACATCTCATGAAACTAGTGAATTTCGAACCAGCGAGCTTCCGAATAGTGACTTGAACACTCAACCGTGCGGCCACGAGCGGCTGATCAGTAGTGTGCCATTCATCCTTCAATCACGGAATCCACGTCCTGTAGTCATTCGTTGGCTTGATTTTTGGGTGAAAGTTTTAGTGTTGTTTCGCTAGAAGTCTATGAGCGAACAGATTTTTCACCTACGATTTCATCTTTCTCTCGCTATGGTAATGTGTCAGAATACCAGCTACTTTTATTCCAAAGGCTAATCAATTATAAGGATAGCGAATACGACACATTAATCGTCATTAGAGGCTTCCACTCATAAACTTTCCATACCTTCCCCACCACACCACACAGGAATCGGTTTTGGCATCCTGATGGTTTGCGCCATTGTTTCTGTCAATTTCTACTTTGAGCGCTTCCGTGGAATATCCTCTGGAGTAGCCATGGCTGGCGCGGGTGTGGGCTACTTGGCGGTGCCGCTTTTATTCAGCAAACTGGTGGAGCGCTTAGGATGGCGCAATGCCCTTCTCAGCTACTCGGTTTCCATATTCCCTGTGATGTTGCTATCCGTTCTCACCTTCCGTCCTTTCATCTTGGCTTCGAATGAAAGTGACGGTGAGGAAGAAATTCAGTTCATAGAAAATGGGGACCTATTGCCCGTAAATGAAACAACAGCCCTGCCAGAGCTTGCGGCGAATGAAGGCACACAACCACAACATTCCATTATCTTGGGAAGTACTGAACTACCGAATCTCAGTGAACTAGTGAGTTGCTTTATAATCGATAGGGTAACTTTTGTATGACTACCTTACTATCCATCTAACCAATCCCAGACTGTCCCACTGTGAAAGTAAATATCTTTTTAGCCTCTTTTTAGCTAGTTCTGTATTTATTGATCAAACTGTCGTCTTTCTGTAGAAATTTTTTCTGTCTTGCAATCACTCTACTCGCTTTAGCCACATGATATGTGTGTCCACTCCGGCACGACTTGCCTCCCACCTGTGGATGGATGCATGCTCTGACGCTTCAAAGTATACCAAAAATCTCCAACTCAACAATTTACGCTCAAGCCTCTTGGATATCTGGACGATATCAAATTCTAAGCCACTGCGGAAATCACAAACGACCTTACTGATGGCACTGACAGGTATCAACTGTTATTCAATTAGGTAATGGTGTGTCGAATCACTTCCGAACTTCTGGTGCATAAGCGTGCATGCGCCCTCGATAGTTCAATCGATAGAGCACGTGTCTGACAAGCTGGAAGTCGACGGTTAATGTCCGTCCTTTGGGATGCCTTCTGCTTTATGCTACATATATGTGAACTTCTCACTCCAACGTTATAATGCCATTGAAAGTACAAGACGCGGACGAAAATAACAACTAAACTAAATAACACTAGACCCGTTCGGTTGCAAATTAAGGCTGGTGACGCCATCAAGCTTACATTTAACAGGGGCTTCCCTAATAGATAAGCAGCAGACTGTAACTGAACTGGAGCGGATTTTCAACACGCCATAGTAAATATGAGCACCGACCATTTCATACGGGCTGTGACAATTGTAATGACATGGATAGAGTAATTCCAACTCAATCCGTCCCATCCAAATGATAAAATCACGGGTTCTTAGTGAAAGGGTCTATCGAGCGTGTGAGATGTTTTTGTATGGCTGGTCCACCGTCAGAATCACTTTTACACACATTCCCGCCACTGAACGGAAGAACCACCAACTACCTTCACCAGTAAACAGCAGTCATTCTTAGCAAACTGGTTTCAATCAATGAAACACCAAGGCGCTATCTACAGTACTTGAAAATGAGGTGCCGTAATGTCTGGGAAACACTATCATTCATAGTGGCATACGTCGCATGGTTACATAGATTTGGAATTTCAGCAATTACTTCCTACGTCAACAAGAAAATACGCTGGCCTGTTGCTTCGTTCTCTTGGTTCCTCTAGAACACCACCTGATAATTTGGCTCTATTTTTCTTAGGCTTTCCTTGAACATCGCATGATTTTCAAGTCGAATCGCATCTCTAGTCTCATATCCTACCAAGGAACTCTCTTCTTCGCCACAGGACTTCGATCTGAATTGCGGTTTAAGTTAACAAGTGAGATTGTCGACCACCTTTCGCATCCCTCCCGGTTCCCTCACATCCGCTTATTTCTTCTATGGTATTTAGAATTTTGGAATATTCGATACCTACGTACTATGGTAGGTAAAATTCCTCCGTTCGATCTCAAAGATCTTACTTGCGGTAGATAAGAATCTGATGAATACGAAAGCATCCATGGTTTCTACGTTTTCCATAAAACCACCATCCTCAACACTTATAGGGATATTTGTTGCTTACCGGCAAGTATTTCACGCTTCTTTTGCGCCTATCCCTTGTGAACGCACGTTGGTCACCACTTCCGCATGATATATTGATCCTGTGATGTACTTGCTCGTCATACCCACACAACTGAGTAAGAGTGACAGTTGGGCCTGTCCATCTGTTCCTACAGGTGGAACAACTGGTTTTTGTAGGTTTTGTGCCACCCATAAAGGCAAACGGTTGCATGCAATAAATCTTGTGAAAACTTGAAGACACGCTGGTTTACCAGAAACAATAGATAGCAACACTACTGAGCCTCCATGTATATGCCTAATGGCAGTTTATGCCGTTCTTCATGCATTCTTCAAGTCCTTTCATAGGAGAATTACATCGATGTATCAAACAGTCGGAATATTTGCCCACCGCAAGTACATCGTAAGATCTTCATCTTATGACCTCTTAGAGGCAAGGATGATCCTCGGTCTCAGGTTACGGAAATAATAATAAATAAGCATTCGGGGTTGTACCCTCAGTTTGGCTGTGAATCAGGATAATAAAAAAATTTCCTCCTAAAATCCCGTTGTTTCCCTACGGTGAATCGTGACACATCAGTCTCAGTACAGTGAGTCTACACATAGTTAGAAGCTGATACTGTATCATTCGAAGTTCGTTGCGTCCACCCCCTTAGTACACACAGAAGAGAAATCACAGGATATTATCATCCCGTTTTCCATCACCACTCTCAAGAAAAAATGTTCTTGGGTTGGCTTTAAGGTTGGAATGACAGGCGTTTAAAAGCTAAAGGCAACATTGCCAAATCGTGACCAAGCCACACAACTGCGTGCACGTTGCCGCAGACCCTCGAGCATGGGCAGAAGCAGCAAGTGACATTCGTGAAGCTAGCCTATTCCTTCGAAGGGTTCAACCGGAGCAAACTAGTCACTACCGAATGGATTTGCTTCAACACCATTTCTGCGCACAGTACGAAGAAGCAATATATCTAATTGTGTCGTCCCAGTAACCTGGCCCTGTTTCTGACCTATATATGTTCACTCAACTTCGCTATTAACTCAGCCCTGTGCATTATACGGTCAAGGGCTCTTTCCAAATTTTTCGATAAAGGAGAACAAAGTATTCTCTTTATTTATTATTCAGTACCCTATACGCGTGGTTTCAAGATGAATTGCGCTTTTCCCGACCTAAAGTTATCCACTCTTGGAAAGACAATACTTCATTAGGTAATACTGGTTCTCTAGCTTACTGGTCCGACTTTTGGTCTACACCCCAAAAGTTCGCTTAATCTAAATCCGGTCATCAGTTTAACTCTGTTACTCCTGGCCTTTAGGTTCTAGTGTACCTTTGCTGTGTCGCCTGTGAGTGCCTTCACGTCAATCTTTACACACTCCTGTCAGCGAACACCTCAGCAACAACTCTCCCCTAAAGGGCAAAAATCAGTCAGTGAAGCGTCCCTTCCCCTGACTGGCACAGCTCTCAGCTTGCAACCGTCACTGATAACCTCCGCACCAATCAGTGTGCAACAGTCGGATAACCGTCCGACCCACACGTATGCCAACAACGCGTCTTTGCACGTGATTACGGCGAAAACAGCAACGCCGATGGGAAGTCGTTGCCCAAGCGATAGCGGTCGATCAAAGTCGATTCGCGAAGAAACCAGCGAACCGGAACGAGCCAGTACCAACTTTGCCAACCTCATCAGACAGTACCTTCTTCGACACCGTGACCCTACTCTGAACCAACAAGGTAGGACTCGCTTAGACTGGTAACACCCGATGTGAATGAAATGTTGATTAACGAATGGAAATGGTAGTATGCGTATGAAAAAGACGAAGTTGATACACCGCAGTGTTGGTATAAAATGGAAAAACTCTCAACCTTGTTTATATCAGTTTATTAACATGCTGTGCTCAAAAAGTTAGATGGAACCGACGCTGCTACATCACTCACCCTAGCCTAGTAGGACGTCGAAGTGGTATAGTTGACCCTATCAGTTGATAGACGAAATGCACATTGTGTAGAGAGTAAAACTGATTGAATCAACCACTACATATTCTTTAGCCGGCGTCGAATTCGTACAAATTATCCGAGTGAATGAGAAGAGTAAATAGAACGTAGCTCATGATTATGAAAGCCATAGGATCAAGACGCAAAGTGCGTTTTTGATACAATTTTACCATTGCTCGAGCAAAGTACTGGTTAGTTGTTCTCAGTGCTGTTTGTTCCATAATTTTGCAGACCACAGACTGTCTTTGTTGCTAGCAGGCTGCTCATTTAGCACGACGTTTCAGCGTTTGTTGGACCACCGTTGTTATTTCATCCACCTCGACCGAGGTGACACGTAGAAGTTTGTTAAATGTGTTCATTTTTCCTGAAATCATAATGGCTTCGGTTGATAATGAATAACCAATTTTTACCGTCTCGTGCACATCTTTTTTCCACTGTTGCCTTACCGGATCATTCTATTGAGCAAAGTCACAATTATTTAAGGCATTGAGTTTTTTCTCGTGTTCATTTCGCGTATACCCACAAAGCACGACTTCTGTCGGCGCACAAACAACGTGTTCTACCAAGGCGCGAGTGTTCAATTGTTCAACTGCCAACACATGCGTATCGTAGCCATCCACTCATATTCACGCAGACCTTCTGGCTTGCCTAGTGGCAACCAAACCGTGGCGAAGGGCGTTTGACAGAATGAAGGAATCCGCACTGGAAATGCATCGGTTTCCTAAATCCTGGTCTGTGGAATTGGTTTTCACATTACTGTCGTTTAAACCGTCCCCCTCCTGTCCTAGTTCAGTTATTCCGGCTAGTCAACAACGGGGCGACGAAGCACTGGACTCTAGTTCCATCCCCATTAGAGAACACCAGCAGTGCACATCCTTGGCCGTCCTAGAAGTTAAACCCCAGGCATCCGGCATGCGGTGTGAGCATGTTACACTACGTCAACACGTTATCACGTCAACGGGTGAACGTGTTCGCGCATGAGCAATGCGATTGGTCCGCTCTACTCGAGCACTGTGTTTGCCCGCTTTGGTGTAGATCAACCAGAATCATTGCCACAGTACAAGACAGCTGTCCAAATTAGAGCGATTCGAATAAAAAATCACATTCACCAGTTTGATCATTGGGAAATGTCGTTGTCCAGCGGTCACGCTGGTTATACGGATAGCTAGGACAGATTTCGGCGTCGAAGTCAGACGTTAGCTTATGGGAAACAGACATGAAAGCTGTGTGATCACAGCTGCTCCATCCACTAACGAAATCGATCATTTCTCTTGTGGTGAAACGGCCGATGTAAGCCTAGTAGTTGGCCCATGCCGCTTGCTACATGTGACGGCCCCGGCGGCTAGTTACCTAAATGGGCGAGGTGATTATTACGCTAGGGACACACCAGTTTCACTACTTAACTGAGCAATTGGCTTAGTCCTTTGTCCACCGCTGGATTCATGTATTCACCCATAGGCGTTTTGTGGTGCTTGTTAGAACAGACTGTTCGACTCCAACTAATCCAATGGCATGTGCCAAGTTCTGTCCGTCCCGGTTATCTGACGTCATTGGACAAGCGACACCTAAACACAATCACAATAGCTACAGCTTTGTTTATTGATGCGGCTCTTATAAATCAACGGAAATTGTGTCGATTAGGGAGGGCGACAAATCGAATCAGCGGTTCATGAAGAAACTCGAGCCAGTGTACCCACGTTTCGCGTATGAACTGAACTGATGCATTATCTTATTGTTGAGAATGCCTGTGGGTGTATTGTATGAAACTCTCCGACGGTTTTGTGGCTCTTTCGAGAAAGAAATGACTGACACGTACTGCCAATGCGGTTAGCGGAAGACTGGTCAGTATACTGTCATACATGTTTTGATTGGTGCAAAATGCGTGTGTTTTGGCAATTGTGTCCCCCATTAGACCGATACGAACGCTTTCTTAATACCGCCCGATAACATACAACCTAGCCATATCTAGTTTGATATTTGGCTCTCCTGTGGGACACTTCTGTCACCGAACTGTTCTGCTACATGGTCTATTCGCGTCTGACTAGGATGAATAGGTGGGTAGACCAAAATACAACACCCATACAAACGCTCAAGGTTTCGGTGGATGTCTGAACACTTTCGTCAGTTTCGGGTCTACACGCGGATCTTTTTATCCAGATTTTGTACTGTCCACTGCACTCCTTGACGTACACTACCACAATAGTTTACTTTCTACAGAATGGATTTGCCTATCGCGTGCTGCAGCTTGCACTATTTTCCATATCCCATTTTTTCATGGGCACTTTTTAGGAAACCTACGTCTCAAATGGACCGTACAGGGTAAAAGCTCGACGCTGATATACAATTAGTACACCGGGGGCGTACGTGTCATGGCCAACAGGTCAAAGTGTCAAAACTTGGTTTATTGGACAGAACTTACACAAAGTTTACCCCGCTCATATGATTGTTCCATATGCATCCTTGGCTTAGTTCATTCACACACCCAATATGGTTTTCACAGTCATCCTCCTAACCCCTAGATATGCCATAGACCACTAAATACGTGGGGGGGGGGGAACATATGCAGGGATTTAGTGAGCTAAATTTGACGCGGGACTAGTAAAGATGCCTTATTTGTGTGCATAATAAAACATGCAGTAAGGTTACCGCTCACCTGTCAACATAAGTGACTTGAGTTAAGACGATACAATTAATCTGGAATGTGATGCTGTATAGTGAAGACGCTAGTGATCGCTTTGATTTGTGTTGCACAGCAAAACAAGATCCATAACTTCAGACGTCCAATCAGATGGTTGGATGATTTGTGAGTACCCTGGTGAAGTGCGACTGAAATCTCTTTTATAGGTTGCGAAAACAGGTATTGGTCATTGCTGGCGTGTTCGTGAACGATACTATGCATTCGTTTTCTTCCGTGTATACGAAGTATACGTAGTACTGCTTTTTACGCACTGTTGATATTGTATTCCAGTTTACATTGTATGCGTGATAATCTGATAAGTCACCTTGTTTTGACACAAAAATCCATAAAAACAATTCATTGTGTTTGGTAGATGCTGCCTTATAACCGAGGAAGCTATTACCCAATGGTTCACTCGCCTTTTTTTCGAATAGTGACGAAACGTTTGCAGGCCAGTTGTCAAGCTCAGCGAACGGACCACAATCATGGTTTTATTTCCTACTACCATGCCACTATATCTGTGTGGCGGGAGCGCACCTGTGTCCCAACTCCTGGAAGCTCTCAGCAGAGCTGTGGTCTAGAGTGGGCACCACAGTATGCTGTTCTCCATTCTCCAAAATAGCGCACAAAGGGTACATTCTTATTTTAAAGTCGTAAATAACAAATCGATTGGCCCTCCCGTTCAAGCGGCTACTGAATGCCTGAAAGTCAACCGCCGTGATGGGAATTTCAAGTTCAGGAACTCTTATGTGAAATGATAGGTCATGCGTGGCGGGGTTTCTGGGTGGTATTTGTGTTTGCATTGTCCTCAGGAGATGCAGCCCACGAAGTCTGCCGTCTGGGTTTGAGTGCTAGTAGCTCATTCCAGGAGCTGCATTCCGCATTGTGAAAGGCCCCACGACAATCTTTGATTCAGTTTCACTTTGTCGATGGATCACACCTAAAAATAACAAGTTGGATTTGTGTACTGAAAGCAGTTGGGGTGGTTTTAGCAAACTGGTTGCTTTGTTTCCTCTTGCTCCATAATGCGGGTTTGAACAGGTGTGTCGTTTACGAAGTCAAGTTTTAAGGTGCTGCTACCCATTGATTTCGTTTGCAGATTTGGACAACACTCACAACGATAATTTGGACGACGAATTCGGATCCACTATTGGGTCTCGGCTTTGGAAATCAACACAGGCCTTTAAACGACGCCGTCAAAGTTCCAAATCTCAACAAGCACCATTTTTAGTTAATACAAGAGTCATCGGATCGGGTGATCTGCAGCTCACCTATCGCCTCCATAGACGCGCACGGAACAAACGCAGCATCATACTGGATCCGTTTGAGCAAATGGATATATTTTTCTCAGCTAATCTATCGAGTCTTGGATATAAGGATGCCTATGTGCTTCGACGGTCATCGGAACAACGGAGCCGCCTGTCGCATTTCCAGATGCAGGAAGCTATCCACACGAGACCACTGCATGAAAGCGCTTACAGCATCACTCGGTCTGGAGCTCAGTTGGACAACAGCCAACAACCCATACATACCAGCCATGTCAGCTTTGCCAAGCTCACGCCAACAAATAAACGATCGTTTATCGCAAGCTTATCCTCAATCAAAGAACCATCAAAGCCCAGCTTGTTGCATGGTGAACAAGAAAAAGTAGAACGAAACGAGTACCTGGGTGAGGATCCAGAAACATCAGTTCATCCAACGCCCTTGGTTCAACGATTTCGTCAAAGATTAGTCGCATTGTTCGATTTACGATTGTTTACCGACTCTTCTTTCCTGTGCCTTCTAGCCGTAGGTGTGTTCAATCAGCTGGCCTACTTCATTCCATTCGTCTATCTGGTCGATTTTGCAGTTAGCAAGGGGCATGAGCGCAGCCAGGCCATTCTCCTAATTGTGATACTTGGTGAGTTTATTTCGTGCAGCACCCTACGATTGGTATTTTCTACTGTGTCCTGAGATGTCAGAAGGACGTACGCAGTATTTGTGACGAAGCTGAGTAAATTTCTATCCGCGTCTCAGCACTCTTTTTGCACGGGGCCCTATTCTATGGCAAAGTTTTATTACCAATGGGAAGTTATGGAAACTTGCTTCCATTACAGCGCGTATCTGAATTTAAGGCCTAGAATAGGGGTGGGATAGAAGAGAACTTCATTCGCAACGAATTCGAAGAGAATACAATTAAGTTTGTTATTCTTATTTGGATAAAACTGTGAAGCATAAAGGCATCTGATCAGCACGTTTCGTCCGTCACCCGAAATACGCCACCCTCAATGAGTAAGGCAATGTTGTTTTTCTCCGTAAACTGTCACTGTCGTTTACGAAACCGTTGCCGACAACATATTGAAACCAATGCACCTTCCAAAATATTTAAACCGTCCCCCCAGCCCGAACTCTTCCACCCTGGATTGCAACAAGCTTGTGCATTTTCTGCATATTCAAAATCATTACCTTCCACTACTTAGGCGCGAAATGCACGTCAAAAGATTGAATGTCCTTGGTCAGTCCATCCAAGTTCTTTTCCTGTTATATCTGCTGATTCGCCGGTCTGTGGTATCTGCTGTTGACCCTCTCCAGTGCCTAGTGTCGGAGAGAAAAAGGTTCACGGAAGGGAACACAATAGCTATATTCCAACAAAGTGGTTGCGAGAGCGTGAGTGCGTGCAAGTGCGAAAAGTACAACGGCCTCAAGCTTTTTATTGGAAGGACACTGTCTGAACTTGGTCCAATGCTGACGCACACGGTCTGGCTGCGACATGCTGCATATTGCGGGGGCGTTGTCTGACCTTGATCAACGCTGACTCGCGCTGTCTGGGTTTGATACAAGGCTGTGACGCGCTGCATATTGAGGGGGCGTTGTCTATCTGGTTAACATCTAGCGGACCTGAGAGTCTCGGTAGATTTCGGGCATTCAGTGGTTACTTTCAGGAAGCTGGCCTTCCTGACCTCCCCCCTTCTGAAAATAAGATTTTCGACGCGGATCAAGTTGTAAAGGTTCCACCCTTTTTCTGGTGCGACCGGTACGGCGTCTTGGTTGCAGTAAAGGATCTGTCTTGAGTGGTACATGCGTAGCAAGGAGCGAAATACCGATCGGAAGGTGCGTAATTCGATCCCAAATTCAGTATCCCGACTGCTCCTGTCTAGTAGGTTTGGGCAACCTGGCAATTATTCCTTCAGCTAGCACGGTAGCTAGGCGCCGACAGGGTGTTACTGCTGAGCACTTGTTGAAATTGTAATCTTGAATGTGGTCTATTAGTCCAGTGGTGTATATAATACGTGTGACGTTATCAGAACGGTCCTTTTATTCCCTATTCAAGTAAAACCACTCTGTCTTATTTACCTTTCCATTCTCGTCTGCCAACCAGGTTCATTTCACACGGCCGGACGGATTGTCGCTGGATGTGCCGCAAATCTGGTCTGGATGGATACAGTCTATTTGAGCGGGATCGGTACACTTACTGGAGGTATCTGCAACATCGTTTTGCCCTTGATCTTCCCATCAAGTTTTATGTGGTATTCTATCTACGCCGCATTGTTTGGTGTTGCCTGTGGTAAGTTGACCAGACACTGCTCGTAAAGCTGTTGGTGTTCCCCAATAAACACACCTAATCCGCTACTTTGCAAGCACCCTATACTAGCGGGTGAATCTGTTTTATGATATGAATTTCGCTGATAACCTGTACTCTAGAGTGCTCCCCGTTCTGTTTTGAACGTGCATCCTTGTAGCTTTACGTCTTGACTTTGATATAAGTGTCATTCCATCGTTTTATTTATGCCCGCACACACACGCTTACTTGGTTTCAAGCTCTTTTCGAACCCTCAACGCACCCTTAAATGCTCTCCCTATTCCCTCATTTGTTGCAAGCCTTCCCGATTCCAATGATCCACCTACTATTAGTACGGTTCCTCGGATTGGAACGGCTGACTGCGAGCTACAGCAACTTGAATCTGGCCAAGGGAATCGCGTCCGTAGTTGGGCCGCTTGTAGCCGGTGAGTAGACTTTATTGGTAATATTCATTACATTATTGAGCAATGACAAAACCGTATTGTACCACAGTCTACAAGAATTCTTTGTGGCAGTTCTGGAATCAGCTACTACCTACTACCTATTTCATTTCATCCATTTCCTGTTAGAGGATGGGGTCACTTCTTAGAAGTCTCCGGTTATAGATGTTTACGCAAGACGATCGATGAAAAGACTTTCAATCCAGCTTTTGTCCTCATGGTGTGGGCTGAAAATTTTTTTCTATTGCAGTTAACATTGTCGAAATCACGGGTGAAACTGCTCATTACTTTTTCGTGGCTGGGGTTTGCTTCACACTGTCCGCACTCGCTCACTTAGGACTTTGTCGATTTCCCTGCTCAAAGCCTGTGGATGAGCTGGAGGACGATTTTCGGGCTGACTGCTGCATGTGTCTAACCGAACGTCAACAAGAACCGCAAGACTATTTAGAAGAGGATGAAGAATTACACGCAGATCTACCCTTGAACTACCATTAGTCGGATC